GGGATCGAGATAGATGTTAAAATTAAACAATTAGCTGACTGGTTCACTTGTTAGTATGGCAGATGCTTTTTCAATAGTTTTTCTTATTCTAGAGAATTTTATCCTTACTTTCCTTTTTATCATAAGGTTTTCGTAGTAATAAATAAGTTTTAGCAATCTTTAAAATAAGTTTCGTAACAAAAGATTCATATTAGAATAACAATAGTATATTGGTACATATCGTATATGAGTCAGATGCTAGTTGTGACAATGGTGGACGTATTCAGTACATGAACGAGCGGCACTTTTAAATTTTTGAATACACACGGCTATGAATATTGGTGAACTAAATGAACTTTGGTCTTATATTCTTATAAGTATTTTACTCAATTAAAAAAAACGCCCCTAGTTATCATATAAATTAAATAATTTTGTTTCTCTTTGAGTTTTAAATGTTTGAAATGTTTCAATCAAATTTTTTCAAGCAAAAAATATTAAATAGTTCTGAACTTTTCGCATGCATAATTATATATTTGAAATCGGCTGACAACATTAATTTTAATCTTCTTAAAGAACTTATGACAGTAGTTGTGACAATGGTGGACGTATTTAGTACATGAACGAGCGGCACTTTAAAATTTTTGAATACACACGGCTATGAATATTGGTGAACTAAATGAACTTTGGTCTTATATTCTTATAAGTATTTTACTCAATTAAAAAAACGCCCCTAGTTATCATATAAATAAAATAATTTAGTTTCTCTTTAATTTTTAAATATTTGAAATATACCAATTCAAAATTTTCAAGCAACAAATATTAAATATTTCTGAACTTTCCGCATGCATAATTATATATTTGAAATCGGCTGAAAAAAATATTTTAATCTTCATAAAGAACTTTTCTTGATCACATCATCATCCCCGAGTGTAAACTATAGAACTCGAAGCCATTCGTTGTTATTTTGTGGAGTATACACGCTCACAAAAGATGATTTTTTGGAAATTCATCTCTAAAGAGGTACCAGTTTTGACGATGAAACCTTTATATTAGAAGTCGATTTTATATTTTGAAATGTAAAGCTTTATTTTAAAAAACTAATAATAAGCTACTGATCTAATAATAATGACCTAATGAATACCTTTTTCAGAATCTGTAGAAAATTTACCCCTAAGAGAAAAATTAGGCATTGACAGGTTAAGCCACTGGAGGAAATGTATGATAAATATTCTATGTAAAGTTAAACATTCATATCAACTAGGTAACGGGTAACATTGTAAACAATGGTAACGCTGGAAGTTGTAATTTTAATATTACTTAATAAAATCATGATTTGCAGTTAGAAACTCATGAAAACAGTTTAAATGCTAACAACAAGCAATTACGTTGGATAAGAATATTCTTTCGCTTGCCACTATTACTAGACATTCTGCCCGTTTGTATGTAACCAGTTAAGGTTTATAGACATTGTAACTAAGCTTTCACGTCACGTACCCTACAGTGGTTTAAATTACACATACGGGTTTCCCAGTCGAAATCGAGTAGGTAAGTAAGTAAGAATTTGAAAAGATTCATGCCGTTTTAAAATTCGAGACACAGAGCAGATTTACGATTAATCGGAACTCGGATCCGGGTGGGTATGAGCAATGATACATAAACTTGACATCAATGAAACTTATAATGTACACCGCTATATAAATTTAAAGCTTACGATTCGAATTTTAATTTATGAATACAGTATGGCGTTTGTCTTAATTGGCTACGATTGTATTAATAAATGATGGAATTTCGTGATCAGGTAAGGTTTAATCTAATTAAAGTTTAAAAGTTATCATACAATCAAAAGTAAACATCGTATTAGAGATTATTTTATTATAAAATATCGGGAAGAATCACCAGTTTCAGGCGCGTAGAACTCCAACTTGTAACTTTTAGGGACTGCTCTAACCAACTAAATTTTTTTAGTACCCGAGACCTCAGCGATCGTTGAAATGGTGAACCCTGATCCGAATCAAACTACGCAGAAAGTAGCGGAATGGATTAACGTAAACCTCATGATTTATCTGATCAGTAGCAATAAACGTGTTTAATTTACCTTATGAAATCAGTATAGCAATGAAATAATATTGAATAAATATTGAAAGCATAGCATGTGACAAAAATGGATTATTTACGAAAACTGAAAGCGAAAAAATACAGTGGTTGACTATAGGTCAAACGCCAGATCAGTGTGCTAAAACAAAGTTTATCAAAAATGGTATCTGTTCTGCAGTCTATTCATGGTGTTATTCACTATAGTTTTCTTAGGTCTTGTCACTCAATAACTGCAGATGATACGGAACTGTACCGAACTTTGAATATTTATTACGAAACTAGTAGTAAAACAGTCTGACAAGTGAATCGAACTTCACCTTTATTGATCCATGATAACGCAAGACCTTACACTGCACAAGAAACCGTTGTAACTTTAAAGGAGCTCCAGTTAAGGACCATAATGATATTTGATACATTTTGCATTCACAATGCTATTTTCATTGCCAAAGGAAAATCGTCATCATCATCGCCAGCTTAATAATGTTCCCACTGCTGGGGAACAGGTCTTACTTATGTATGGAACCGAATCGAATAAGGAACATGAGCCATAACCTCACTTATCATTGGTGCGTGTTAACAAATGCAGATGCAGCTGACGTGTTTTCCAGGCCACGAAGGAAGTCGAGATCCTAATTCTTTGGTCACCCATCCTATGACCCGCCCTTGCAAAAGTTGCTTAACAAATTTATCGCAGGCCGAACTAGCTTACTATCGAGCTAATGCTTAACAGCGCAAGTAATAAGTGCTTTGTAAATTTCTAAAGCTTGAATACCACATTTGGTTAGAGCAGTCACATTGCTAAAAATTGGTGATTCAAGTTTCATATTAAGCAACTGAGACTGTGGCAGCCGTATAAAGTATTTTCCTATAAGATCTGATTTTATGACTGATCAATCTCTATGAGATTATTATAGCACATACGATTTATGTGTTTGAAATAGATCAAAAGAATTGTATTTCAATTTTCGAACACTTGGCTTAAAAAATAAGATATTCTTTATTATCAACAAATTTATACTTTTATACCAAGTTACTTATGAAATTTCTTCATATATTTAAGTATATTATTTTTATTACATTTATAAAATGTGATAAGTATGAGTCACTGGCCGAGGCCTGGCGTGTTTCTGTTACGTTATACACCGTCACCTGTCTGTATGTTATTGGATCTCGCGATTTTACTTCTTTTTCAAATCAATTTTATTGGTCACCTAAAAGTCAATTCCTTCAGTGCTTCAATCTTTTAGATTCAGTACCAGCCCTTATTCTCGGACGCAATCCTCTTGATTGGTCCACTAGCATACACTGGCGCTAGTGTAACCAATCAAGAGTATGAAACGGCACAATTGCAATGTTGTTCAGTCGCGATTGCGTTGGGGCAAATCTCTGGACAGTTGAGTTACAACTAATTTTTAATTGTATCATTTAACATATATATTTAACATGATTTTTTGCATCAATTTAACTGTAAACTTGAGTTATGTAGGTTGTGTGCATAGGATAAAAGTTCGAATTGCAAGTAATTTCTTGGATTTTAGAGCACAACGGATAATCAGCCCCTATCGTCAGCACCACGTCGGGGCACAAAACGCGACACCCGAATGTCCTAAACAATTTACAAATCTGTCTTACATTTCTTTTGTTGTCTTCTATTTTCCAGAGATTAAATTTAAATGGAGCGCGCTTCGGTCCTACATAACTCTACAGCACGGGTAATATAATAAAAGCAGAAGCCAAATCGAAAAAGATCATTATAAAAAAAATCAGTTCCGCGTTCTATTCGCTAGTTCAATAACAAAATTAATTATCATACCGTTTTACACACCACGTAAGAAATTCGAGAGGTTCAATTACGATTCGATTGCTTTCACTTCGACGTGGACCGGATTAAATTATCGAGAAACGTCAGACATTTGCTCGTAAAAATATTTTCGAGTCTTTTTTTTTACATTTTTATAACCAGCGCTCTGCAACTCACAAGTAGCGAATATCAGTATTCGCGAAAGAGGCCGCATCGTAAAATTGTAATCGTAAAAGAAACACCTTTTAAAATGTAAGAGGTTTGCGCTAAAGTGTGTGGTAGTTCGAGAGGTCCTTTCAGGCATGCAGTTTATCTTTATGTCTTGAATACTGATTAGTTTGACTCTTATTTCCTAATGGAGTCCCTCGTTTAGATTATTCTTGTAACGGACCACCTTAAAACATTGCATAGCAACATTATATGCGTTTATTACTTTGTTTAAATATGGTTACTTCCTTTATTAAAATACTTTGTAGTTAGGTAAGCGTCATATATGTAACACATAGCGGTTTTAACGATTCAGTTTGAATAAATAAAGTTTTGGTAACCTCCCTGGGTGACTTATATTCTGGTTTCAAGGTGTCATCATCTCCGGGGTTTTTGGTCCGATTTGCGGCCTTTATATCCATATATTATACGTACTTATCCATATTGTTCATGGGATCATTATTCCTTCTGATTTCCATAATACAGGCAACACGCTAGTTAAATGGTTATACAAAACTTTGAAATTTCGTACTTGTTTTTTATCATCATCAGCTCTTTTACGTTCCCATTGCAGGGGCTCAGACCTTTCTTGTGGGTGGTTAAGGAGGATACTATTAACGTCTGAAAATGCAGCCGTAACCAACGGCTTAACATGCATTTCGAAGCACAGAATAGCTCGAAATAATATTTTTTTGGTCACCAATTCCGTGTTATTAGCTTGCTTAAAATCAAAGAATTTTTTTATTTGATAATACCCCAGTGGTATCAGAGCAAATTAACTTGAACGGACTGATGGATACTTTTATAAGCATTCCATTTTATCTTTTAACGGAATCCTAAAATTTTTAGAAGTTTGATACTACTGACTCGAATATTATATTTGCTATCTACTCGAGATTCCAGTTCCTTTTATGATAGCAACTAATTATATACGGCAATCACATTTGATGGAATTAATTTGCACACAATAAATAAATACACAATAAAAGTCTTCGAATTCTCATTATAATTTATTATAAAAATGTTGAACATTAAAGTTCACTTAATATAAATGAGCAAAACTGATAAAGACAACATAATTTTCCTTTTTATACCTTAACCTAATGTTCACAGTTTTATAATTACAAGAACATATTCTGTATCAAAATATTATATATCATTACCAAATTACATTTTGTAAACTATTGCAAATTGAAACTTTCATCGGCAATATAAATTAACAACTCAAATTATTCTTATAGGTAAAAATTATTTTTATCAATTGTCACAATGTATAAAACTCTATTTACATAAAAGTACATTCTCATTAATAATACTAAATCACGACTTAAGAATTCAGATACATAAAACTAGAAAATTAATAATATTTATTGCAAAAATATCAAAATAACTAAATAATAAATAACAGTCGATACATTTATGAAACAGTCTATTACTATTCTAAACCTTTTCAAAATATCAGCACTGATGGATTTCAATAGAAGTCAAACTGTTTTGTTTAAATTACATTCATATCCAACAATAACAAAGGAAATAAAAATAAAAAGTCTAAAATTTTGATAAACTAGTTCTTTTAAAATTTGGAGGTAAACAAAACACTGCACAAACAAACCTTATGAGATCTTTACGAAAACCAAATCCACATTGCGAATACATACAATCATACCTCTAAAAATTCTACATGACATTTTATGAATACTTTACTAATAATACTTCTCGAAAAGGATTAATAATTATAGCAACTAATTATGTTAATAATAAGACAAATAAATCATCTTATTTTAAATAAAACCTAAATACAATGTTCATTTAACAATTCTTCATTTGTCTCTAACGTCGCATTATGTCTTCTATACTAAATCCTTTCTTCGGGCCACTTGTGTGACTGCTTCCAGGCTTAGGATTAGCATTAGGTTGTATACCGACAATATTCTTAATTCCATTAGCAATATAAATGGAATTATTTTCCTCGTGGTCTTTATTTTGAGGACTTTCTTTACAGTTTGTAACACTCGTTGAAGCAATTGGAGCTGTATCTTTAGGTGGAGCATGTTTCACAATCAAATCTTGTGCAACAGTCTGCTGCGGTCCTAACATAGCATGGGGAACAGATCCGTAAGCTATCTGTGGATGAGGTGGTGGTAAAGGCAAGCCAAATTTATGATAGGAAGGTATTCCCATAATAGTAGGTGGTAACCCGACTACAACATCACTATTTCCTAGTGGCTGACGAGGCATTGTCAGATTCGTAGGTTCAGGAGACCTACTTCTGTATATTGTAGCACAGGTTCTAATGTTATCTCCGATATCAGGCGGATGACTTCTCTTTCTATATGGGGTCAAATAAACACTGGATGGCCCAGGCTCAATAGGTGGACTCGCCATTTGACCTAACTTAGAATGATCAGGTGGTGGAATTTGATGCAAGTCTCTTCGAATTTGCAACTGAGGATGTCTCATTTGTGGTTCCGGTATCTCTGAATAGCGCATTTCTTTTTCAATTATTTCTTCGGACGTGTAACGTCGTTTTTCGTATAAATCGGAAGGCATCCGATGTTTATCTGTATGTTGGGGACGCATTGTGTATGGACTTGCTCTGTCTCTGTTATCATTATGATGACAATGTGTACGCTCTACAGGTGAAGGTGAAGTTCTTCGTGGTCTTTCTTCACTTTGTTCTCGGCCAATGCTTTCTATAGACGAGGATCGTGCTCGGCGAACTGGCGAATGTTCCGGAGATGAAATGTCAGGGTCTTCGTCGTCATAGCCTGGCTCAATAGGGGATCCGGGTCTACCGATATCTTCTTCGCCAACATCTAATACATCACCAGGTGGTACATCACCAACTGAATGAGTTAATGCGTGTCGTCTTAAATCACAATTCCTTCTGAAAACTTTGCCGCACGAGTTACAGTTATAGGGCTTATGATCTGTGTGTGTTAGTAAGTGAGTTTTAAGATTGGATCGTTGGTTAAAACTTCGGCTGCAAACTGGACATTTATGTGGAGACTCTTCCATGTGAAGGATTTTGTGAACCGCTAGAGTCCTGGACTGACAGAACCCTTTTCCACATTCTGTGCATTTGAACGGCTTTTCTTTTGAGTGAATGTACCTGTAACAAATAAATGTTATCTTTAATTAATTGGCGTAAACTTCCAAGTTAAAAAAAACAATTTTGTGTTCGTGCTTTATGAACGCGCTATGAACAGTTTAATGATTTGCACCATAAAATATCGGGTTTTAATTAAACGTCTGAAGAGGGGCGGAGTAGAGACGGACACAATTATTGTAGATCTTTATATTAGTAATAACATAAGAAACACATACGGCGTTTCATTGGAATACAAAAAATATTTTGATTGGATTCACAATTATGTTGTGCCTAAATATTAAATATTTTAATATATTTCTATGCATTCCAAGGTTTTAAGTCTTAATAAAAAATTGTGATATTTTCACGTCAACAATCATTTTACTGCGCAAACGCACCTTGAACGTGATCTGACTTACTCGAGTCTCATGTTTCAAGGCGAGACTGACGGTGACGCGTACATTACTAAGTCACCGAGGTTATAAGACCTTTACTTTAATATCAGTAATCCTATTCGAGTAAGTTAAAGCGAAAGAAAAGACGATGTAGCAAGACCAAGTTATGTTGGTTCTGTTCCACAAGACTTCCAGTTTGGCCGAATCGAATTACGTTAAAAGCATTTTGCGGCCAATCGCTGCTATTAATATTATTAACAGCGGCTATATCGCGTTACTATCGACTAAAGAACGTATAGGCAATCAAAAGAGCCGAAAATTCTGAGAAGCAGTTACTTATATGAACAATAGATAATATATATACATAACTTTTATTTCAGCAATTAAGTCGTTTATCAATATCTATTTTCATATAATAAAAATATATAGATAAAGGTATAACCGTTTTAAGGAATTTTTTAACCGAATCATAGCTACGTAAATATGTTGCTTCTGAAGGAAATATTAAAAAGGATTTTTTATACACAGAACCAATAGAGTATCCTTTTATAGATTATGTAATGAACTATCTGTAGCTTTCGAAATTAACACAGCATATGTAATAATTATGAAACGCCAAAGTAACACCTTTAAGCAAAAACTAACATTATTATGAACACACAAAATCTAGTGCAATTACCAATAATTTATTTTAATTAAGTAACTTTATTGAGGGATTAATAAGAAGCTTATCTAAACATTTCACTTTAGATAGTAAGCCTTGTTCACTTTGAAATCTGCGTAATTAAAATCACTAAAGAGGACGCGGCAAAAAAAGTCTAATCCAATCAGAACCACCTACGTTGGAATTCGTGTATAATGATGATGACTTTCGAGATTCCTTTTAAGTCATGCAAAGAATGCCTCACGTAAATATATCATTACTCTATGGAAAATAAACAAAAAACAGTGTAATGACCGTCCCTCGTTTAATAAGCTTGGCGTTCGTCGGGATTCAGTTTCATCAACCACAAATTTCTCATTGAAATTTTCGACGCTTGTACAGGTTCCCACATAAATTTCTCGAAATGGCGCATATTTATTTTATTGCTAACATGATTGACTGGTTTTACTTGACTATTATGCTAAATTGCTTACGTCTACGACTCAGTTGCAAGATCATTGTATACTGTTATTTTTTTTATTGACATGTAACTATTTCAAACATCAGCACTTATCGTTATGTTCTTGTGCGAGTTATTGTTGAATTAAAAGATTTCCGCTAATTCGGCACCACGACCTTAGCGTTGGATTTTACGGTTAATAAATTTATTACAGGAAATATTTTAGTGTTGGCATTGACATTGAAACTTAATAACAATCAATTATACTGTTATCAATGCTTGTTTGTTCGTTCGCAAAACTAAACTAAGGTTAGAAAAAAAATCATCATACGCGATTATTTCGTCCTTAACTATAAAATTATTGAACTAATGAAATATTTCAACAACTAAGATGTTGAGATTTCAAATATTAAAAATTATTTGACTGGTGACGTCAAAATGTAGTCATTAGCGTCACATCGGAACTACAAGCATCTCCACTTCAATCTCGTCGCATTATTAAATAAAAGGAATACATTCCTTTCTTAATAACAGAATCACGTGATATTTTTCTTTTAATATTCGTACATTATATTTATGTGATAAATGATTATAGAATAGAATAAGGTAAATATGAACAGATTGTATCCGATGGATAAACATAGCTCATTTTGAGACGCCATTTTAATAGAACAAACAAAAAAAAAATTTAACGGTCATCAACTCATGAATGGACGTAAAGAATAAATCAAGTTTTGCTTCGCTAGCCTCGCAAACATTGTGACTGACAGACAGACCGGTTCCACCTAAAGTACACAAAACTCAAGCTGTATGACGTGGTACTCAAAGTCACTATAGAACCTTCATTTTATGCTAACATTAGAAATAGATATTGTGAAACTGTTTTCGTCAATGATAACTATTTGTAGTAAAATCTACAGCTATTAAAAATAATATCTTGTTAATTTGTTATTTATAAGAGCTTATTACTTGCTTTTATAAAGATAATAAACATTTGAGCCATGTGCTCATCTTAAAGTTTTGCTACCAGCACTCATAGTCTCATTGCAGGCAATATAGCATTTTGAGATATAATCAAGGTTAAAAGATTAATAATATATTCGCAGTCCAATAGGATTATTTAAAGATTAAAGTAACCAACACTAGATACAATTAAATAAGAAAAGTAAGGTGTTTTATTTATATAACCGCAAGTATTTATAAAAAAAAAACAATAACCAATAAAGTTCATTTCAAGAACAGAAAAGGAGCCAATTACCATTTTGATTAATGGCACATTTTAAAGGAGGACATTTCGATATTTAAATTCCCAACTAAAAAAAAAGAATAATATAATTAACGACATAAACAAATCTTCCCCTCCCGCAGTCTTATCACACTACTTCGATCAAACCTGACGTTAAATAAAATATAAGTAACGTCTGTCTCTTCTTATTACACTTCGAGATAAGAATCGCGATGGACAGTCGCTCAGAATCCCATCACGGAGCGGGGTCGAGATTAAAAAAAAGTGAGCCACAAAATTACAGAGAGGACCGTGGACTGGCGCTAATGGTGAACATTAAAAAATATTTTCCATTACTGTTACCGATCTGTATAATGTGAACGAAGGTATTAACTTAAGCTTAGCCGATGAAAATGAAGAGTTCACTGTAGATACAACAGAATATAAACGAGTAATAACATTGATAAATTGAAATCTTAAAAGTTGTGATGGTAAAAGTTAAAAGCGGAGTAAATATAAAAAAAAAAAATATTAGCAATAAAAAGTTCATTGAGGCGACACAGGCAGACGTTTGCCGGCAACAGGAACAGGTTTTAGAAACCGTGCTCGTTTAATTTTTACAAACAGTGTGGTGGTTGTGACAGTTATGTGAATATTATGTCAAAAGTAATTTTTGTTTGCTAATGTGTTCACACACATTTTTGATTAGAACATTTTTATACCTATAATATACAAATTGTTTCCCCTCTTCTTCCTTTTTAAATAGCAATAGCAATAGCGTAGCAATAGCAATAGCGTAGGAAACGTATGGTCCCTTAACCGACTAAGAAGTTTAAATAAAAAACCGACTAAGAAGTTTATTTTTTTAAACACAGTCATCATAGTATAAAACAAAGTCGCTTTCTCTGCCCTTATATTCCTATGTATGCTTAAATCTTTAAAACTACGCAACGGATATTATTTTATTTTATAGATAGGGTGATTCAAAAGGATGGTTTATATGTATAATATAAGACCACGCGGGCGAAGCCGCTTGCGGAAAGCTGTTTACTTTTATAGTTAATACTGCTTATGATAAGGGTGTTAATGAAACTTAGCTATGAATAAGTTATATACTGACAACAAATAGTTAAGTCGATCAAATAAATTAGCAGTACTCTGATTATTGTTGAAAATAATATCATGCAAAGCAATATTATATTTAAATATATTAGCTTAATTATTAAGTAATCCTAGCAGTTACTAATACTTAATGTATTATTGGGGATATCGTTCAAGTAGATCCTAGTTTATTTTATAGTCTGCAGTTTTTAACGTTATGTACTTAGTAGTAAAGAGATCAGGTCCATGGTGCGCACGTTGGAATGCTGCCGCATCGGTCACTGCCCTCTCCCCCCTCACACCTCTCCGCCCAACTCATCTTTATATCTAAGCCTCCTATCGTCTAGATCAATCGCATCAGCGTCAGTATTATTTTTACTTTTACTAAAACGTTTATTATCCTCTATAATTAAATATCGTGCATTATTTTATTTAACATTGAATGAAATAAAACATTAAGTGGTCATAAGCAAGATTTCAATAATGAAGTCATAATACCGCCATATATAAAACAGGACAATGAACCAAACTTTATAAGAAGTGACGTCAATCTAATCTGATGAAGTGATTTTAATTGGCACTTGAGAGAAGACAAAAATGCCGAAATAGAATCAATAATAACCATTTTTAATTAGGAAGGTGTATTTGCAAAAACCCACACAAATACAAAACGGTAGCGAGACTCAACGCATAAATTCATTCTCAGAAACGTTTACAACCTGCACACTGGCATATAAGTAAATCAAAACTGCTTATAAATAGCCTTCATTTACATAATCTCGCGATTTGTATAATGAAGTAGCAGATTTTGTTATTCAAAATCATTCGATTTTCAGGCAAGATGCAACAAAATATAATTTTATTAACCATTCTACATTTTCTATTGGTTTTATCATATTAAAAGATATATTGAGGCTAAAAGCTCGCGTCTTTATGTTAATTATATTAGAGATTAAGTTACACCTTCTAAATTCTTTAAATGTTTGCATTTAAAAAGTGGTTAATATTTCTATTTTTTCATAATTTCAGATTTACAAGCATCATACGATCATCATTTCTGAGAAGAATGTCTACAATTAAATTATTTTATTGAAATTTAGTCTTGTAGCTTTTTTAAGTAAAAGTTCATAAAATACATAACTGGCCGTCTCACTGAAGAAGTTTTGCCGTATTAGGATACGTAAAAGGTATACTTAA